TATTTTTTTCCACACAATAATGTTTTTTTAAAAAAATACTTTAAGACAGGGTCTCACTTTTGTCCAGGGTGGTCTCCTGGGCTCAAGCAATCCTCATTTCTCAGCCTCCCCAGTGGCTGGGACTACAAGCATGTCCGACTGCCTGGAAGGCTTTGTAGGGCAGCCGGCAGGGTAGATAGCAAGGAAATCTGGGTCAGAGCTGATGTGACAGCAGCCGGTGGGGCCAGCAAGCTGTCTGGAGGAAGGACAGTTAATGAATCCCAAATGGAAACAAGTTTCTCTTAAGATGCCTTCCTCAAAGTGTATAATTTTAGTTTTAAAGAAAATTTGTAAAGACAGTAGAGAGAGTTTCCATATACACTCCAGTCAGTTTCCTGTAATGTTAACATCTTTCATGACTAAATTACTGTTACCTAAACTGCAGACTTTATTTTAATTTCACCAGTTTTCCTACTCGTATCCTTTTTCTCTTCTAGAATCATATTGCTTTTAATTTCATGAATTCTTATTTTCCTTTGGTTTACAGCACTGTCTCAGTCTGTCCTTGTTTCTCACAGCCATGATGTTACCAAAAGCACAGCACCTGTCCTCGAGGCTGCATCAGAAGAACCAGCACAAGAGGTTTGAGAAGGAAAGAGAGTTTATTAATTTGCCGGCAAATGAGGAGGTTGGCAGACTCCTGTCTCAAAGTACCAACGTCCTATTATGAATGTTTATGTACATGTGTCTGTCCTACTAGACCACAATCTCCTTGAAATTGGGGTCTCAAAACCTGTGTATCCCTCACAATACCCAGCACAGGGTAGAGGACTCAATAACTGCTCTGCAACAACAAATAATCCCCAGCCCCAAGCTGGAGATGACCCTTTAGGATACTCAGGAGGAGGCATGGTGCTCCAGGTGGCCATTCTTTGGGAAGGGAACAGGAAGGTAAGACTGTTAACTTGCAATGGGCCAACAGAAGACAAGAGTCTTCTGAGTTGACGATAATCAACTCAAACAAAAGACTGACACAGGACCTGCACTTTCCACCTCTCACAAAAATCAACTCCCACAAAGGATTCTTAAAATAATGGTGAAAAATGCTACCATTCTTAAAATAATGGTGAAAACGATGGTGAAATAATTCTTAAAATAATGGGAAACATCTTTTCTGATTTCCTCCAATAGAAATTTAGGAAGCATTTGCTCTGGGCCCCTATTCTCAATGAATCTACATTTGCACACCCAGGAATTGTTCTTTCTTCACTCTGAGCCTTTATCCTGGGGTTGCTGCCTATCCTTAATAATCTGGGTCCATTTATTTGAAGCTTCTTGCAAAGGCTCTGGTATCCAGGAGTGAGTGGAGTTCCAAAATAAAACAAGCAAAAGAAACCCAAACAGGCCGGGCGTGGTGGCTCACGTCTGTAATCCTAGCTCCCTAGGAGGCCGAGGTGGGCAGATTGTTTGAGCTCAGGAGTTCGAACCCAGCCTGAGCAAGAGCGAGACCCCGTCTCTACTAAAAATAGAAAGAAATTAATTGGACAACTAAAAATATATAGAAAAAACTAGCCGGGCATGATGGCGCATGCCTGTAGTCCCAGCTACTTGGGAGGCTGAGGCAGGAGGATCGCTTGAGCCCAGGAGTTTGAGGTTGCTGTGAGCTAAGATGATGCCACGGCACTCTAGCCCGGGCAACACAGTGAGACTCTGTCTCAAAAAAAAAAAAAAAAGAAACCCAAACAGAAGGTTAAAAGTTAAAGAGGCTTTGAAATCTCTCATCTTAGAAAAGATGAACCCCAAACTCATACATTTCTGCTTTTACTCTATCAAGTAGCATGTGCAGTGAGGCGTATTCACAATATAAACATGTTCTCCATCTGTTGGCCTCTTTCGTTTCCTCTTCCCATAGCTTGCGTGCTCCTGGGAACATGGACTTGTCTGGTTGCTTGTAGAGTAAGTCCCAGAGCAAATAATTGACTAATTAGTCATTTTATTGAGCAGGAGGTGTCACGGGGCAGGGCTGAGCCTCTCGGTCTCAGCCATCACTAAAGCTGGGTTTTGTTCCTGGTTGTGGGACTGACTCACCAGGTGGCCTGGGGAGATTATGTCACCTTTCACTTGCCACCTATCTGCCCAAGAGAGGAATGCTGCAGAGATTAATTCCGAATGAGATCACACTGGAGAAGAGAGAGATCCCTTTCCCAAGAAGAGGATTATTTAATTGCTATGTCTGTTCATTTTGAGTCAATGAGCAATATTAGGCCCAGTGTGCCAAAAGTCACATATCTGAGTCCTTGGAAGGCTCAGAGAGAAGTTGTGAAGTTTTAGGACAGAGCTGTTTTTCAGCAGCAACTGGCAACTTTGCCATGTATGGAATGATTCAACCAACCTCCTTCACTTGCTAATTCTTTGCTAGAAGCCCTTAAAATTGATAGTTATTGATAGGCAAGAAGAGCAAAACAAATGGATTTTTATTTTTCATTTGCCGTAGCCTTCTGACTTCACATAATTTTTACATGTCTTTTTTATTTTGGTAATGGCATTGTGCCCTGTAGAAGTCCACTGTAAATATCGACTGAAAAACAGATTTCCTTGAGTGTAAAACAGATTTCCTCTCTGTCAGCACTAAATATTATGAAGGCTTTACATATATCATCTCTCATCCTCAGAGAGCATGTGCAATTCACTCAACAAGAGTCTACTCTATCCTAGGTTCTATGTCAGGTGGCATTTTAGAGGGAAATTAAGGCATTAATAAAATGAAATTGTATGAATAAGTATGAAATACTTAAAATAAAGTATTTAAGTATTCAAATAAGTATGAAATCACTATTTGTGATACGTGCCATGTAAAAGAGATACAATGTAAAATGAGAATTTAAATAGGGAGCTTGGCTTGGTCTGCGGATCCAGGGTCTTTTTTTCCTCTTACACCATCTGGAAATAATGTCTCTAAATTCGAACAGTGGGAGATTCTTTTTAAATAATAATAAAAGTATAATAACATCAAAGTATAATGACAACACAGTTAGGCAAATTAAAGTTTCCCAAAGTATTAAGCTTTACTTTCATAGATTTTTCCTTTTATTACCTAGACTTAATGTTCCAGGTTTTACACCCTATTTCATTTTAGTGTGTCCCTTTTGCCTTGAATTTCACCAAATATTTTTGCCGTAACTCAGCTTTCATTTTGTCAGCATTTGCCTAGCATGTCTTTATCTACTCTTTTTACCTTATGAATCCCTTTGTTTTTAAAGGATCTTATATATAACATCAAGTTGGGTTTTATTTTATGACCCATTCTTAGATCCTTTAAGAAAGATAAGTGAGTTTATCTCATTAACACATATTGGCATAACAGATATACTTGGTGTGGTCGCCGTGGAAGTACCTCACTGAGCTCTGCCTTCCAGAAAGTCTTCTGAGCAGTGGCTCACACTTGTAATCCCAACACTTTAGGAGGCTGAGGCGGGAAGATCACT